GAGAGTCCACACAGGAGAGAAACCACACAAATGTCAGGAGTGTGGGAAGTGTTTTGCTGTGAAGATGAACCTTGAGATGCATCAGAGAGTCCACACAGGAGAGAAACCACATAAATGTCAGGAGTGTGGGAAATGTTTTGCTCAGAAGACAAACCTTGTGACCCATCAGAGAGTCCACATAGGAGAGAAACGACACAAATGTCAGGAGTGTGGGAAATGTTTTGCTCATAAGTTGTACCTTGTGAGGCATCAGAGAATTCACACAGGACAAAGACCACAGAAATGTCAGGAGTGTGGGAAATGTTTTGCTCAGAAGATGAACCTTGTGATGCATCAGAGAGTCCACACAGGAGAGAAGCTGTACAAATGCTTGCAGTGTGGAAAAGACTTTACTCATAAGACAACCCTTGTGAAGCATCAGAGAGTCCACACAGGAGAGAAGCCATACAAATGCTTGCAGTGTGGAAAATACTTTGCTCAGAAGACAACCCTTGTGATGCATCAGAGAGTCCACACAAGAGAGAAGACCTACAAATGCTCGCAGTGTGGAAAATGCTTTGCTGATAGGTCACAATTGTTGAGACATCGGACAATCCACACAGATGAGAAATTATACAAATGCCAGCAATATGGGAAATGTTTTCCTCAGAAGTCACACCTTGTGACACATCATCAGAGTGTCCACACAGGAGAGAAACCATACAGATGCCAGCAATGTGAGAAATGTTTTACTTTGAGGTCAACCCTTGTGGCCCATCAGAGAGTCCACACAGGAGAGAAACCATACAAATGTCAGGAGTGTGGGAAATGTTTTGCACAGAAGACCAACCTTGTGGCTCATCAGAGAGTCCACACAGGAGAAAAACCATATAAATGTCAGGAGTGTGGGAAATGTTTTGCTCAGAAGATAACTCTTGTGATGCATCAGAGAGTCCACGCAGGAGAGAAACTACACAAATCTTAGGAGTGTGGGAAATGTTTTGCTCAGAAGATGAACTTTGTGGAATATCAGTGAGTCCACACAGGAGGTAATAATATATAAGAAGAAGAAGAAGTTTTATTTATCTTTCCCGCCTCTCCCAATGGATCGAGGTGGGATTACACAATACAATGAATACAATGTACAAAATATAAACAATAAAATAATAAAAAACAAAACAATAATAATAGATTAAGAGAATAGAATAAAATAAATGAAAATAAAATAAAATAGGATAAAATAAAATAAAATAGTCAATCATTGTCAGAGTCTGGAAGATCAGATGGATAGGCCCGCTGGAAGAGCTCCATCTTAAGTTCTTTCTTGAAGGCTTCTAGAATAG